CCGAACATGACGCAATTTTCAAAACCAGTGAAACAACCATATCACAGTACGATAATCCTCAGATTAGAACCCTCTAGTGTTCTGGATCGTTACATCTGGCAGCAGTTCAACGTAACGATTACAACATGCAGAAAGATCTCACCTTTGCAACTTTCGTACTCCCATGATGAAAAAATGAATGGAAAAACCTTACTGGATACTCTACAGACTCCACCCCTGTCGTGGATAGAAAGTGTTCACGTACTCTATTTTGGACTTTCTAAAAAAACAGAGCACTTGGGAATAGAGCGAAAATTCCAGAAAAGGGGTTCTCGAGTTGATGGCTATCACGGAATTGTTAACTAATAATCGCGTACTTAATTTGTCTGGATTCCCATATGTTACAACCTGAATGCCAGTGCAAGTGATAACCTTGAAGGAATCTTCCTGGAAAAGCATTTCCAACATGGCTGAGCTAGTTTTGATCACTACAGACAACACACAAAATTTCACGCACGAAGGTTCGGTTCTCAAATAGAAACAAACTCACCAGTGTCACACTCCATGGACAGTCGAAAGCAGGGTGAATATTGCTTGTGGATTACCGCCTGATCCTTTACGTTCTCGCGCGCGGATATTCACTCTCGCCACCCGCGAGCCGTCTGTGCTCTCCGCGCGTACATTCACTCTCGGCTCTACTCTCGCACAGCAGAGAGCGATGGTCGAGGAATTCCTCGACCGTTATTCACCCTGGTCGAAGTAAGCGGGGCCGAAGGCGGGGCATGGAAGGAAATCCGTCTTAGGGTGGCTACGTGTCAGGTGACGCAATGAAACAATTCGTGAAAAATTAAAGATTTTGGAGAACAGAGTCACGATAGGAGGATTCTGTAGAAGTGAGAGATGTTAATGCAGTAAATCAAAAGACCAGAAAGAGATTTTAGTGGCGATGCTCCGAGTCAAATATCTGTCACAAATGCTGGCGACGGGAGTGCTCCAAGCGACCAAGTGAGAGTATTCCCGTCGTCAGTATTTGTGACAGATATCTGGCGGTACGCATAAAAGCCCTTTCGGTTCCTCGAATTTTTGACTAAAACAAATGCAATTTTTTTTGTTCGTTTCGTTCTTATTGTGGAGTCTCAAGCCAGTACGCCTCACCGGGAAAGCTCATTTAGTCAACCTGGCCAATCAAAACGAGATGTATATGTCTATACGCGCCTTGAAACGCTGTACTCTACTACTACTGCCTTAATTGCTAACCTCTCATCAAAAGGGACTATATAAGAGAAAGGCGAATAACCTGGTCTGGACTCGCAGACAAGAAGTCTTAGGATGGTCTCCTTGCTTTGCATAAGCTTCTGCTGCTTTTGAAAGCGTACTTTATTATGGATTTGGTAAGATTCCTGAAATCACTAGTGCAACATGCTTGTGTATTTACTTGTACAGAACATTTAAGGACAATTAATAACAAATAGGTATTTGCTCCTGACTATTCTGGACGCCTGTAGCGCAGCCGCTGGACATTTTCGCTTCTAAGCAAGTGTGATATTCGTAATAATCAGGGAGTCGGACTCTCCCTTTGAGCAAACTTCTAGCGAATTCTGAAATTTTGACCTAACCTCGAAAATTTGGGCAGTCACTTACTCTCACCAATCCAGAACAAAAGGCTGGTATTATGCTGATTAAACCTTCCAAACACTCCCTCAGAATAGACAAAAACAGTGTCTGGCTTGCCCGTCTGCATCATCCAAAGATCTGCAAGCATTATTTCCAAATACAACTCTCTCCTCTCTCCCCCGTCGTCCATGATTGGTCAACCCAAAAAGTGGAGTTTGAGGAGTGGTAATCCCATCACTGCTCCGCTTTTTCTCAATTAGTTCATGACCTCAGGTTTGGCGAGAAACTCGTTTCAAGGGGTAATTTGATCTTCTAAACACGAATGTCGCTCACCGCGAAAAAACTTAGTACCTACACGACGAGCACCACGGGCACTCATAGGCAAATAAAGCTAAAACTAGAGAATCTGCTCAGAAATTCTCCATAGATGTGCTTCTGGCGACCGTTGATGAAATAACTATTTGAAATTTTATCCATGCCGAAAGAAAAGCAAAACACCGAATTTGAGGGAGCTGAACATGCAAAACCTTGCTCATCGTAAATAAGCAAGACCACTATCAGCTGCGCCATTGAAGCTCGTCACCCTGGTTCTTCCTGACGTGCATGTGATTGCGCGACACTAAAAGTAAGGACGACGGAAAAAATCCCTCCGTAACTCCTCATTATGGATTTGGGATGATTCCTGAAATCACTAGTGCAACATTCAGAGAAAAGTTCAGCAGAGAGTGAAAACTGATTTGAGCTCAGAAGAAAGAGAAGCAGGCAAAGAAGGAAAGGCAAAGAAAGCGAGCAAGAAGCGTAAATGTACACCTCATTTCATTTGGCCAGGTTGACCTGATGGCCTTTCCTGATTAGTTGCGTGCTACCGCATACTTCATTCCTCTTCATATGAATGCCCGTGTAAACTCAGTAAGTAGCACATTTCAATCCTGCTCCAGTTTTGCTTTGCGGTATGGGTAACAGCCGCCTCCGGTCTGTTTTTTGTTTGTCAGACTATTATGTGTTTGCGACAAAATTTCTTTGTTTTCATAATTTTGACCCACCCTGTACATGTGACTGACTAAATAAGGTGGGAGACAGCAAGAAGCAGGGCCGGGGTTTCTGGTTGAAATAAAGCTTTCCCGCGAGAAAAAAGCGCTACACAGTAGCACGCAACGAGTGTGCATGCTACCGTGTAGCGCTATCCTCCGTATCAACATCGAACACAGTATTCTGTCCACTAGCACCCTTCCTCGGGTGGAATGTTCGCGGGGACCAGCTTGATCTCACCTCAGTGCTGACACCGATCTTTCATCGATCAGAAACACATGGAACTAGAAACACTATGCGGTCACTACATACTCCTCTTGCATAGACAATGTTTTGTAGATTATGGTGTAGAACGTTTTGATGAGCAAGCATTTGTGAGAAATAATAAAATTATAATAATTTAAAATCGAAAAAGTCCAAATGATTCAGCATATGGGACAAGTTAATAAAAAAAAACCCGAGTTACATATACAGCGGGCTGTCGTCAATGTGTTTACTTGATATGCATCAATTCCATCGAATCAATGACTTTCCACGAAGGGTCAACTATTGTGTTTGGCAAATTTCGAGATAAGTACAGCCCCCCCCACCCCTTCGCTTACCTAATTTTTCCCTTCCTCGAGAAATTCTTTGCAGAGATAAGTGAGTTCTCGACTACCTCCTGAACATCTCAAATGTGACTTCCCCTCCGCTTCCCGCCTCTTTGAGAAAACTCAACGAACTCATAATCAAGTTATGCGGAGCGAAAGTGGCTGCTTCTAGACCGAAGGGGCCGAATCCGCAAAATTTCGAAGTCGTTATTTCGTTGAACTCCACTTGGGCCTTCTTCTTGACGGCTAACAGCAAGGGAGTGCAAGCATTAATACAGCAAAAACTAGTATACACTGCGTTTCATAAATATAGGTCCACCCTAATTTTTTGCTATTCCAAAGTTGCTGTGCATTTTTGGAAAATGCCGCTATTACCAATAGTTTCCCCATAACGAAAAACCTTGATACTTGATTTCTGGAGAAATCTCGATTCAGAATTATTAAAATATCTTCCTTAGAACGTATTTTCACCGTTTCGCAAATATGACTACACATCACTTGTCGAGAGATTTTACTATAACGAAAAAACGTCACGAATTTTCAATAATGGGATGACCCCCCAATAATCATAAGGAACACAATAATACGTTTTGAAATGCTGGTAGCCAAATTAGCTATTACAGTAGGATCGAAATTCGTCTGGGCGCCGATGATCGACCTTTTCAGCTTTTCGGCTGTTCCATTTTGCTTTACTTTGCTGTGGAACTTTATAACAATTAAGGCCCAATGATTCTCTATTGGAATCTAATTCAGATAACATGGTGGCCACCAGATAACTGCCACATTTTTTCCTGCAATTCCATCTGGCGCGGAGGGACCGGCATGGACAGCCGCGTTATCGTGTGTGAAAATCAAGGATAGAGGGGATCCTTGTTGAAAAAATGGTAAGACTCGCTTCGAAAGAACTTCACGATACCCTGTGGAATCTTTGTGAACGGAAACAAAAGCGAGCTCTAGCTACTCAGTCGTTCAAAGGTGCCTCAAACCATAAGGGATTCACCGCCGAAATTACGTTACATTGAAACCATCTGCGATTTTCACGCGATCATCCTGTACCCTCTTTTTCTGCCATATCCACCTAGAATAAACTTTTCCACGTCGATCTCAGACCACCTGTAGAACGAAACAAGGAGGTAGAGTCCAAGATCGCGAAGGGTTTAACACATTGACGACATTGAGACGCGGTAACGCGTCTCACTTTGCGCACCTCGTTGGACATTGAGACGCGTTACCGCGTCTCACCCTTATCATCCCTTTTTCTAGGGCATGCGCAGCTTTTTCCCGAATTGTTTGTCTCTCTTCTATGGATTAGAACATAACATTATTGTGAACGACATAGGTCATTGTTTGTTCAAATATGCTCCAGTTTAGAAGAAGTTTTCCAAGCTCACCGAAACCGGCGGCTTGGTTCATTAATAGTTTTCATGCTATTCTCATGAACACGTCAATAAAAAAGGGTAGTGAAAGTAAATGCAAATCTAAAGAGACAGAAAAATACATGTTTCACTTGGTATAACCACATCAAAAGAGCTTTTGGCATCCACTACAGATAAAATGACTAAAATTTCCTTTTTCATTACCATTACATGTTCTTTAATCGGAACTTCGTCACTATATACTCTATTACCTTCTACGCATTGACTGTTACTGAGATGTTTTTGTACCACTGGTGCTTTAAAAAGTTATCAATAAAAATTCACGGATCCGAGGTGCGGCGGTCGCACTCGCAAAATCGGCCCGGTCCCACACGGCCAAAAAAGCCAAAACGCGCGCGGTCGTCAATGTGTTAACAGCCACACCATCGCTCATTAAGTTGAGCCCTTTTCCACGGAGAAATGGAGACTTGCGATCTTGTAGCGCTCAAATAATCTTGGAACGCTCTTCATCAATCCGTTGAAGATGTTATTGCTCTGCTGGCTTACTCACCACACGGTGGTTTTGCTCACGGAAGGCCGCATTTCAGTACGGACTTTGTTCGGACTCCTTGTATAATTCGAGAGAAGACACCCAATTCCTCCTAAATTTTGAAGGAAACGCAGTCTTTATTTACCTAAGCGACTCTTCTCCGCACTGACCAGGATTTTGCACATAGTCGCTTATGCAGTATGAGCCGGCCGACATGGGAGGAAATTCTGCTCCTCAGCTATCCCACTTCAGTAAGTGCTCTAGCTTGAGCTTGTTACTGGGAAGAGAGGCGAATAACACGAGGTATGGTAAACTCGATGTCGACTGAGCCCACATATTTCCCCGCTTCCCTGATTCCCTTCACGGATCGTGAGAAATGGAAACTTTTTATGAGTGGCCCGATATTCATGAAACGGTGAAAATTCGTTCTAAAAAAGTTAATTGGGTTACTTGAGGGGGAACTTTGTCAGAAAAACACTATGAAGGTTTTCCGTGATGAGGAATCTAACGGTGATAGCAGCATTTCCAAAAAATGCACAGCAACTTTGGGGTAGCAAAAATTTAGGGTGGACCTATAATTATGAAACGCAGTGTATTGAAAAATTAGCACGAAAATTGGATAGATTTCTATGGATGTCGCGAAGTTTTTGAGACAACACTGCACATCTTCTTTCTTCTGATTAGTTTCGACACATGTTCGGACATTATTTATTACTTACTAATGCACAAGAAATCTGCTCGATTCTAAGTGTGGAAACCCATGCCTCAAGAAAAGGCCCCATTTAGAAGACAATGGGAAGTGAGTGACATTGTAAACGAATAACATGAGGTACAAGGATGATTACTTCGATATATATCATATGACGAGTTTGTTATTCATTTAGACAACATCTCGTTCCTCATTTCTGACAGCATGATTTTGCGTGGATCAGTGCCAGCCAAACGAGCGAACCTGGAATTTCAGCAGTGTAGCCAAAACGTATCTATACTCCAACGGTAACAGATCTCAACTCGTTACCTTTTAGACGCGTAGTTGAGGTAGAATTTTGCTTTTTCGAAATGTGGCTTGGCACTCGGTCGACGATATAGTGCCAATATTGCACGTCCAAAGCCGTGCACGATCACAGGATTGTTGTAAAACGCATGGAATATGTGAAGTGAAACTCTCACACAATCCTATATTAGCATCCACTTCTGCGCTGACCGAAGGATGTGAGCACTAAAACATATCAGCGTACCTCACAAGTAACGGATGATGTGCACCACATAGTGGCGCACCACTGTTTCTGTTTTTTGTAATATTTCTAATGATCTAAATATACCCTTGTATACTATCAGCAATGAAAAATAGCATACAGGGGGACGAAAAAAAGTCATTTTGCCTGTGTCGCACTTAGCGTTTTTTTTTTCGTCGCAGATTGTCTTCGCACGGAAGTTCTTGAGCAAAATATTCCTCAAATGCCCCTCTATTAGACGCAAGCCCTTCTTCACTGCTCTCAATGTCTTCATAATATGACGCCTTCTGCCATTGTGGTTAAGCACACAGAGACCCACGGCAAATGCTCCAGCCCAAAGCTCTTACAAATTCTTCAATAGATTCATCGCTGGATAGTTACTCAGAAACATTTGCTTTGTATATGCGAACTCCATCGGAATCCGCGTTTAGAAAATGTCGTATGGGGTCCGTCCACAACCCTATTGAGCACGATAAGAACACCATGTTTTCAGGGTTGGCACTTACCAGGAAGGTCTTTCAGGGCGTGACAAGCTTTTTGAAAACGGTCTTTTGCATGATATAGGGGCAGATGCGGGAACCACAGAACCATGTTCAATTTTTCCTGAACGGCCCTCTGAATACCAGAAAAGGAGGTCCCTAGTTCGATTCCTCGTGGTAACAAATTTTTGCATTTCGAGTTGACGTGCCAAAATTCGCGCAAAATGGAGTTAGAACCAACCAGAACAATCAGAACTCCATTTTGCGCGAATTTTGGAACGTCAACTCGAAATGCAAAAATTTGTCACCAAGAGGAATCGAACTAGGGACCCCTTTTCTGGTATTCAGAGGGCCGTTCAGGAAAAATTAACATGGTTCTGTGGTTCCCGCATCTGCCCCTATATCATGCAAAAGACCGTTTTCAAAAAGCTTCGTCACGCCCTGAAAGACCTTCCTGGTTAGTTGAAACTGGGTAATGGATAGCTGCAGTATAAGGTAGGTCACTTCGAATTTCCCCAAACTAGCCTGTGGGCCAATTTTTGAGTATTGATGAAACTTTATCAATGTTATACAAAATATTGAAGGAAGCAAATCAAAAATTCACATGTGTTTGAACACGTTTAACACTAGTCAATTTCAGTTAAGAATTTCTTACTGCGATCGTTGTGAATTATTGCAAGAACAGAATTCTTGAAAGTGTTTATACGTGGCGCTTTATAACGAAGATGTTTCTTCCTTAGTGATGGTCTAAGTTGCTGGTTCGCGACGGCAGCTGAGAAAATGTCTAGTTACGTTGTTAATAAGGCAATATAGTTGTTGAAATATTCGTATAGATATTCACATAGAGTAGGGATCACATGCATTTTTTTGTTGGCTTTCAGTTTTGTTTCCAATAATTTGTACGATATTAACCCTTTGACGACAATGCGGATTTGCACGTAACGTGCTCGTGGGACCACGCCCTTTTTGGCGCGCCCAACACTCGCCACAACATTGGGCAAAATTTTCTATAAAAGCAGTTTTTCTATCAGATTTCCACTTTGGCAATGCACCAAATATAGCTGCAGTCTTAAATTTCACATTGAATATTGCTGGCAAAAAATTGGAAGTGTCGAAGGAGAACCCGGATTCAAGTTTCTCTGTGTCTGAAAACCGTTAAAAGACGAAGAATTCCTGATTAGTAACTTATATTTCAACCTAACAAATAAGAATCCCTGCACGGTGAGGGGGCTAAACGCCACATTCTAAAACCTTCCATGAGTTAGCTCTTCTTGAACATTTCTGTGAACCCTGCTAAACATAGACATTATGATGCCTGCTTATAAATACAAAAATGATAAAAAAATTTTAAATGTGCAAAGAACAAAATTTTAAGGTGGCACCCAACATTGGGTGCCATTGTCCCACGCGACGGACAGAGTGGCACCCACCGGTGGGTGCCATTGTCGCCAAAGTTAACAAAGTTTCATCAGTACTCAAAAATTGGCTCAAAAACAGTAGTTCACTCAAATATTATTCCACTTGCTTCGTTTTGCTTGTTTTGGAGCTGTCCAGAAATGTCAGCATTCAGCGCAAGCAATTAAGTGGGGTCATCCCACAGGCAAGTTTGGGGAAGTGCGAAGTGACCTACCGTGCGCTACAGTAATCCGCTAATTACGCTACCGTACTTAATTTCAAACTAAGTACAACACCTCTCAGAACAAGTTTCATATACACTTTGTATTCATTTTCCAACTCTTTCTATTTGATGAATGGCTTACCCATGGTTCGCACGTCCCGAGACCCCTTCCCCTAAATATAGCCACATCCTTGCTCGGGGTTGTTGTTTCGCATTTTTCGATAATGTCACCTACAGCTTCCATTCATTCTTTGCACCCTAGTTTCAGAGCGGAAAGGCGGTTACGAACTTGTCGTCAACGGAAAACCTCTTCGTTCGAAAGACCGGACACAGAAACATGCTGTAGCCCCGTTACCCCCTGTTCGCATATGCCTACCGAATTCCTACCCTGTGTGGCGGCATGCGCCACGTGGTGGCGCACGCGAAAACCTCTGTCGTCCGTTACGTGTGAATAACATATCGCAGTTTCCAAACTGATTTCGCAAGGAGAGGAAAAGTGTGGCATGCAACGCCTTATCACTGCGGCTGTGGCCTCTACGGTGAGACAACTCATACGTCGATGAGTTCGGTAACTCGTACACTGAATACGAATCTACAAGAATTTAATGAACTGTAACTTACCTGAACTATTCGGAGAAAAACTTCTTGCAGTATGACTAGAATTTCTGCAGTGGCAGGACCGCGGCCAGTAGTTTTCTGCTCAAAAATGTCTAGTATGGCTGCCAGCCCTTGTGCATCTATTACCAAATATGCACATAAATGAGGAGATAATGCTGATAGCCTATCTGTAAGAGCTGTTTTCAATTTCCTATTTTCTGCTTTCAGAGTAAGTATAGAATTGGAACGTACTCAAGATAAATGCGCCCACTTTCGATACATACATTTTCGGATCAAACAGCATATCAACTGCGGCGTGAATCCTTAAAGTCAATGCTAATGGTAAATGAGTAATTGATAAATGCAAGAACAACTGCCTCACTTTTCATGAACGGGACGAGAGCTAAGGGCAGCATTGTCCACCACGTCACTGGGCTCCTCAGCTGCAATATTTCCTCGGTATGCGTTCATGTAATTGCGCCTCTCTTCAAGATGTTTCTGAAGGCCTTTTCGCTCGCGGCAACCCCTATACCACGCCTGCAAAAATTAAATCCCAAAGCATGTCATACCATTCTTTGGAAGTGTTTTTACCTGGATTTTCACAGCAGCTGACGTCTGGTCGGCTAATGAGGGCATGTAACGAGCTGTTGTGGTCTTGAATTGAAAGTAATTATAACCTAGCGCACTATTACCATCTTCATGGAAATGCTTTAGAACAATGAATTCAAAGAACATTTTAACATTTTTGTCGTCACCTACATTCATTTTGGAGAGAAACTGAAATCGAGATGGAATTAATATGTTCCCAAAATCTGAGCGATTTTATAATAAAAAGGGAGCCCTTTGTAAGTAAACACAGAGGATGTCCATGATGCAGTG